CAAACTGCTCCTACCGAGCACGGGAAGGGTGGACAACGGATCTGATACTTGTCCAGCCATCCTTCTCCTGCTACGGGACTTATTGGGACTTCCGGGACCCAACGGCTCAAATCTTAGAGCAAACCCATCCCGACCCGTTGGATATGGAACAAATTGCCCCGAGAAGCTGTGGCTGCCCCATCCCTGGAGGTGTTCAAGGCCAGGTTGGACGTGGCCTTGGGCAACCTGGGCTGGTGGGAGGTGTCCCTGCCCATGGCAGGGGGGGGGACTGGATGATCTTCAAGGTCCCTTCCAACCCAAACCATTCTATGATGCTATGATACGTGCTACCAAAGAACTTGCCCTTGTATTAGACGCAACCTCACTCTTGAAAAGAGCTCGCCCGGCCCCCGGGGAGAGGAAGCAGACGGCTTCCTCGGTGGCCAGCCCGGCTCGGAAAACCCACCGGGCTTTTCAAGCTCTCATTCTCAGAAACAGCATCCAGCTTTCTAAAGGCATGGGGTGGCCAAGCTTGCTCAGACATTGTTCAAACGAATCATTTGAAGTTTCTCCCCCCCGGGAAACCCATTTTTGGGGCCACAATTATTGTTTTCAACACATGAAATCTCTTTACACTTCTCCAAGCCTAGAAGAGATCCAGCCGTGGAACGAGCTTTGTGAAATTAAAGTCAGACCAGAAACGAAAATAAAACCAGATAAACGCAACAAAATAAACAACATAAACATGGAAGAAAATGGAAAATACCAGCTGGTCGGCATGCTGCTTCTGCAGGACGTCCCGTTTGTAATCCTTTACGGATACCGAGCCGAGCTTGTCCTCGACCTCAGCCAGCCAGTTGAGCACTTCCACCTCCTCCTCCCCAAAGAGCCTGGCGTTAGACAGCGCCTGATCCAGCAGCGCTGCCTTCCGGCAGCACCGGTCGTGGACCTCGCCGTAGCGGGTCTGCAGAGAGTCTAGCTTCTCTGCCAGCAGCCTCCGCTCGGCGGCACAGCTCAGGGAGGAGAGGGACTGCCCGACACCGACCGCCCGAGACACGTCGGCCGCGTGGCTTTCTATCTCTTCCTCTAGAGCCTGAATGCCGGGAGGATAAAATGGACAACAGAAAGGAAAATGAGTGAAAAAATGGATTAAAAAAAAAACAAACAACAAACAAAACAAACCAAAAAGAAACAAAAAACCTCACAACGTAAAAAGGGAAAACAGAAACAATGAATGCAACTGAAGGTATGAAGGAGGCACGAAACCCACCCGTGAATGGGCAAACTGCATCAAAATAAAAAAGGTTTAAAAGAAACACAAGAACAGGAATGGTTTTTCTATCTGGAGCCGGATACATCCGCTGCGAAGTGCAAAGACAGTTTCATATTTCCCCACACTGGTGGGTTAGGGTTCGCAGCCTTCTCTGTACGTAAAGCAGCCTGGACGACTCCTCCAATACCTGTTCGTGCCAAAACCCCCCCTCGCCGTGGCACAAACACCCACCTGAGTGGGACCCTCCACCAGCAGCTCCCGGTCGCGCACGGGTCCTACCTTGTGCCGACTGATCTGCTGCTGGATTTTGGCAGTCTGGGTACCGATGGGCTCCGAGTTGGCCAGTTTCTTCTCCGTCACCGACAGCCAGTCTGACACGGGCTCCGTGGTTTCGTGGAACTGTTTCGCCAGGACCAGGATATCCTCCAGCTGTTTCTGCCTATAGGAAGGAATAAACCATTGGAGCCAGGCATGGGAAACAGCTTCGAGTATTAGGAAGGGGGAACCAAAGCCTTCTCACTCTCTACAGCTCCCTGAAAGGAGGTTCTAGAGAGGTGGGGGCTGAGCTCTTCTCCCTGGTGACAAGTGGTAGGATGAGAGGAAATGGGTTCAAGTTATGGCAGACTTGGGGTTGGACTAGATGATCTCCAGAGGTCCCTTCCAACCCTAACCATTCTGTGAGACGAGGTTTAGATTGGATATTAGGAAAAAATGTTTCACCGAAAGGGTTATCAAACATTGGAAGAGGCTGCCCAGGGAGGGGGGGGATTCGCCATCCCTGGAGGGGTTTAAAAAAAGGGTGGACGTGGTCCGTGGGGGCATGGTTTAGAAGTGCCTTTGCCAGGTGAGGGTAATGGTTGGACTTGATGATCTTAAAGGTTTCTTCCACCCTCGACGATTCTATGATTCTATGAAAGCAGCCCTGTTCAGAGCGAGGTGAGACGCCGCGGCAAGCAAGCGGAAAAGGCAAACACAAAAAGCAACGTGGAGAAACTGCAAAATAAGCTTTTTCCTGCAGCTGCGCCTTTAGGGTCCAGTTTATACCCCGGGAAAGGCGGTGGAGGGGCTGCCCCTTCGTGCTGCTTCTCTTCCATTCCTGCCGCCATCTC